CTGCTGCGTCCACGGCGATTTAAACCTAACAAGCATTCTGAACCAAAAGTTAGTTTAAAAAATATTCCCTGATAAATATTCCGTGAAGGAAAATGTGAGAAGAACCAAATAGAAGATGCAAACGAGCCAGCTTTCCCAAGCATGAGGAAGGGTAGATGTCTTCTAATAGTTTAGCTGCTTTCCAGGGGGAAATAACAGCAAAGCTAGTGGCAAGTTTCCCCTTGAGGGGCAGGATTTACATTCTGTCTATACCAGGAGCTGACTGATGAAGCTGCACCACCACACAGTATGGTGCTTTCTGGCCTGTTTCTCACAACGGCAGCATTTAGCTGACAGGATGACAGTGGGGGTGGGGATGGATAAGGGGGAGAAATAAGCAAAGATACTAGGTCTGAGAAAGATAACGTGACTGGCTCAAGAACAGACAGCGGAAAAACGGCAATGTGTGGATGTGGCTCCACGCCAGGTGCTTTCACTGGAGACCACAAAGAGAACCACCTTGGGGTTCTGCAAAACTCATTTTAACTTCTAGGTAAGGCTTTCCCCTATGTTGACACCACAAGTTAAAAAGACCAATTGATTGCAGTGTGCCATGCTCACTAATTCCTAACCTTTCAAGAATAATTCACTATTTGGGTGGCAGGAACTAATTCTATGATCAAGAGCAGGCTTACGATCAGAAATTAAAAGAGCAAACACCTCATGCCTCTCCCTTTTTCTCCACGTATCATACAAACGTCCCAAGACACAGCTCTGAAGAGGTAAAACAAAGCACCCCATGGCCCAACACAGAGTTCAATCACAGGGCTTCAGTACTCATCTGCCAGTCCAACCTCCCAGTGAAGACTGATAAAAATAATGTCTGATCCACTTACAATGACCCGATCAACACAAAGATGGACTGGAAACTACATGCTTGAGGACATGTGCATGAAATAAACTTCTTCCCACTAACAGCTTCCTGCTCTCTCCCCAGCATAGTAAGCTAGGCAGAACACAAAACACAATGACAATCCCTTCCAAATGGATGTTCGTCCTTGCCAGTAATAACTATAGTTCGAGACTTTTCAAGTGTACTTAAAAGTTAACTTTTAAGAGAAACAAGCATTGAAGTCGAAGCTTGCCCAGGTGGCTTGGTCAGGGACATTTATACCCACAATCTTTAGGTTTGATCAGGTGAACAGTTCTAAAACATTTCTACTCCATTTGGCATTTTAAACATTCTAAACTAAGTTGGTACAACTGAATTTAACCACTTCTTCCTTCCATAAATAGTGGCATTTGGGAAGGCAGGTGAGCAGTGTGCCTAAGTCTCTCAACTATGTATCCTGCTAACACCCAGGGTAGTTCTATCTTGAGCAAACCTGAGAAATGTCATAAAGCCATACACATGGTTTTCAAGGCCAAGGTAAAAAGGAAAAGTTAAACTGACTGTAACTTAGATGCCCGTGGTGCTTTGAATAAGAATGGTCCCCATAGGCCTATAGATTTCAATGTTTGGTCACCAGGGAGTGGCACTATTTGAAAGGTTGGGAGGTGTGGCCTTGCTGGAGAAGAACCTCAATGGGGTGGGCTTTAAGGTTTCAGAAGTAAAAGCCAGATACTGGGTCTCTCTTTGCCCATTGCCTATGGATCAGATGTAGAACTTGCAGCTCCTTCTTCAGCACCATGTCTACCTGCATGCTGCCATGCTTCCCACCATGATGACAATGGTCTTAACCTTTGAAAGTGTAAGAAAGCCCCAATCAAATGCTTCCCTTTGTAAGAGTAGTTGTGCCCATGGCGTCTCTTCACAGCAGTAGAACACTAAGACAGACACACACTACTGACAGTACCAAAAACAACCCACCTCTTGTCATTTCCCAAACTACACAGCTGTGCAGAATTCGTCCCTACCAAGCCACATGGAGTCCCACTCAGAAGAAGGCTAACAGGTGAGGAAACACTATAGCTTCTACCATCCTTCTGCTCAAACGACTTCTTTCATAAAGTTTATATCCATCTGTGAGCTTAGCATGGGGGTTAAGTGCTACACTGTAAATGAGGAGGCCAGAGGGCAACTTTCAGGGGATGGTTCTCTCCTTCTACTACGTGGGGTTCTGGGAGCTGAACTCTGGTCAACAGGATTGGTAGCAAGTGTCTTTACCAACTGAGCCATCATCATCTGTCCAGAAATAACATTTTAAAAAGCATATAAAAATGTACCAAAATTATCATTTTAGCCACCAGGAAACAGCCACCTACACGAGATTGGACAGTGTACTAAGTCCCTTATACTGTTTCATGTGTCCTAAGAACATGCAATGTTACTACTCCTTACAAGGAAAAAAAAAAAAACATGCTCAGAGCTTAAGTGAGATGCTTGGGGCTTCAAAAACAGATAAAGAAAAAGTAAGGATCTGAACTCAAATTGACATAACTCCAAAAATTGAATTTCTTCTAAATTGTGCTCCCTCCCAATTTCACAATAAAGGAACGGAAAGAGTTATGGATGAATTTGTTCAGGAGTTTAATAGTCTCAACAAAGGGGAGTATGAGGGATGATTTCTAAACTGTTATTTTTTTTTTTTTGGAAGTCCACAGTGTACCATCCAAACTCCAGTTATCTTCAGAACAAATCAACAAATTAAAGAGTTTTTAAAGCTGGGAAAAGTGATACAAACCCATTATCTAGTCCTAAAGAAACTGAGGCAGGGAAGCCTTGAGTTCAAAGCCAGCCTACACTACAAGGCAAACCCTAACTCAAAGGGGATGGGGTTCTAGGCATTTAATTCCAGCACTTAGAAGGCAGGTGGAGCTCTGTGAGTTCAAGACCAGCATGGGCTACATAATGAGACCCTGTTTCAAAGGGAGACTTAGCAAATTCTCCTAAACTAAATTTCACTACAGCTGTGCAAACTAATCATTTTGTACAAGGCCCAAGAAATAATGAGTCTCTTCCGTGTACACTTTCAGTAGCAGGTAAAAATCTCTTCATCCAAATCAAATGAAAGCTGAATACTGACCATGTGTAGAGACTTTTCTAGCAAAGACAGTACATAGCAAAACACCCCCCATCATGGTCCTTAAGGAGGAAAAAGACCAGGAAAGACCATTTGTATTATATACAGTCTCCATTTAGTGAAGTAAATGAAATTCTAAGAAAGACTAAAACACAATCAAGTATTGTCACGTTATCACAGTCCAGGGAAGGAAAGCAACTGGTGTCCTTGTCATCCGACTTTGTAGGCAATTATGTTTATATTATGTAACTCCCTAATAACTACCAACTTCTGTCAATCTCCTTTCCCTCACCACACCCACCTAGGGAAGGAAAATTAAGCACAAAGATTTCAAGCCCTGGATGCCTGTGACTTAAGACTGTTTTCCCTTGGTTTCATTAGGTAAACAAAGCTGGATTTCGAAAAGAAAAGCCGAATAAGCTAGAAAACCCAAGCCACGTTTCTCCACGTTATTCGCATAGGAAGCAAAGCAAAATATCATTTGCTGTGTTTTTCAAAGAAAACTTTAACGGATGCCAAAGAGACACAACTGAAATAAACATGAAACGACATCGTCACTGTGTTTTAATACGAATGCTTGGACACTTAGGATAGTTCCACTTGGGAACGAAAACAGAATCATCATCATCATAGTGTTTAAGTCCAATCAACGAAATGCAGAGGAAGGAATTCACCTCAAACTTAAGAAGGCGAGTGCTTAATGCAGTTTGTAAATCCCCAAGAAATGAAGGTGTACGAAAGTGACACCGATTTATCTGAGTCATCTCAACTGATGGGAACTCCTTTACAGACAATGAATGACCTTTCAAGAACTGGAGAATTCACCTGACCTGGCAATCCAAACATTTAAAGAAAAAAAAAATGAACAAGCGACTTCTGGAAATAAATGGGGAGAAGAGGGTGAGGCACATCACTTTGGCAATGAACTCTCAAAATAACTTCATTATGGAGTGCAAACGACCGAACACTAAAATGCTGCTCAATCCAATTTTCACTGTGAATTCCTGAATTCACAGTAGGGTCTAGCAACGTAATGTGACCCAATCTTTCGGCTGTATAATGGGGTGGGGATGGGGGTACACACTTTCTCAACGAGAAGAATACTGAGGATTTTTCTCATCCAGAGTTTTATGCGTCTCGCGAGTCCCAGCTACCAAAGCAGCGACTAGGTCTGAAAGTGTGAGCCGCTGCACTATGGCTCGGTGACTGAGAAGCCGAACGCACAGTTCCCGGAGCGTCGTTCGCGCCCCTCGTTCCCCGCCCCGGGATAAAGCGCGGAAAAGCCCCCGAAGGCGGCTCGGGGCGCGGAGTGTTTACCCCGCTCGACTGCCCCGGGGAGCTCGTTCCCGTGGCCACAGACCGTCAGGGCGGCGCGCCCCATCGAGCAGCCATCCCTCAGAGGAAAAGCCCCAGCAGGAGTCACTGAAGCGGGCAGCCGGATCCGAGGAGGCTGGAATCGGCGACCGCGCCACCCACCCCCCGAGCCGCGGATGCTCCGCAGGACAACGGGTCCGCCACCCGCGTCGCGCCCGCGCGCCCCCGAGTCGGGACCGAGCTCCCCGGGGC